AACCCTCGTATACCTCGCTGGGATGCAATCCTTAGAATTGTGAGGTATCTGAAAGGAGCTCCAGGCCGTGGGCTATTGTATAAACCAGGGGGAAAACTTGAAGTAGTTGGGTATATAGATGCAGACTGGGCTGGCTTAGTGAATGACAGAAGATCTACTATAGGCTATTGCACATTTCTTGGAGGAAATCTTGTGACATGGAAGAGTAAAAAGCAGACGGTTGTGGCCAGAAGCAATGCTGAAGCCGAATATAGTGCCATGGCTCACACTACCTGTGAATTAGTGTGGTTGAGGAATCTCCTACAAGAAATTGGGTTTCACATGGATAAACCTATGAGATTGTATTGTGACCACCAAGCTGCACTCCATATCTCATCCAATCTTGTCTTTCATGAGAGAACAAAGTACATAGAGGTTGATTGCCACTTTTTGAGAGAGAAGGTTCTTGCTGGAGAGATAAATACAGAACATGTGGGCTCGAATGACCAGTGGGCAGATTTGTTTACAAAAGCTCTAAGCTCAGGGAAAGTGAACTATCTATGTAACAAGCTGGGATTATATGACATATATTCTCTAGCTTGAGGGGGAGTGTTAAAGTGTGCCGAATAGGGGTAGTTTAGTCTTCTTATGTTTGTTAAGTAGCTTGCTTATGTGGTAGTGTTATTAGAGTCACTCTCCCCCACACTTAAGTAAGGACATTTTTGTCTTTGTAAAGATTATTAGAGTCTAATATAGATTAAGGGGGTCAACTGTATGGGTAATCCATCAGATTTCGATAGACCCTTCTTCTTCTTCTTCTCTTCTTCTTCTTCTTCTTCTTCTTCTTCTTCTTCTTCTCTTCCTGGTTCGGACTACTGTAGCACCAGTCAAAACAGAACTAAATCTTTTACATAACAGTTTCACCTGGTCTAATCTCCAAGCTGAACCAATTTATTCAAAATTAGACAGATTTCTTTTCACTGCTGATTGGGAAGAACATTGGGGAGACTTGGTGTCAAGGACATTACCCAGAGTCACCTCTGATCATTGGCCAATATTGATAAGTAAGTTTGAGCCTGGAAATAGAGGACCTACCCCTTTTCGATTTGAGAATATGTGGTTGTACCACTCGATATTTAGGAGAAAGTAAAGGAGTGGTGGTTAGAAAGTAACCTAAGGGTCAATTGGGAAGGCATGAAATTCCATTGGGAGTTAAAAGAGTTCAAATATAAAATCAAGGAATGGAATATTCATTTTGGGAGGCTTGAAGAAAGAAAACAATAGATGGTTAACCAGATTGATGAGTTAGATGCAAAAGAAGAACTAGGTTCTTTTGGGAAAGGGACAAAGAGTTAAAGTGGGAGCTGAGGAAAAATTTGGAGGATATCCTTTTTAAAGAAGAAATCAGCTAGAGGGAAAGGAAGGGGACAGGAATACATTTTTTTTTCAAGCTATAGCTAATGGCAGGAGGAAGAAGAATCTCATTTCTAAGCTTGTGATTGATGGTATAACCTTAACCCAGCAGAATGAGATTGAAGGGGCTTTAGTGGACCACTTCAAATCTATCTTCAGAAGGCCTCTGATTAGCAGGTTACGGGTTGAAAGTTTGGATTGGCTTGGGCTCCCTGAAGAGTCAAGGGTGTGGTTGGAAAGAATATTGAGTTGGTAGAAACAAGGGATGTTATCTTCTCTATGGATAGATCTAAAGTCCACGGTTCTGATGGTTTTATGATGGCTTTTTATCAAGACTGTTGGGAGATACTTGGGGATGATATTCAAAGAGTGTTCTCTGAATTTTTTGAAAGAGGGGTAATTAATCTAGGTTTGAATTCTACCTTCCTTGATTTGATCTCAAAAAAAGGTAGGAGATTGTCACCCCAAAGAGTTTAGGCCCATCAGTTTGGTAAGTAGTCTTTATAAAATCATTGCCAAGGTGTTATCTCGAAGAATTAGAAAGGTGCTACCTTAATCATTTCCCTTAATCAACGTGCCTTTATGAAGAATAGACAAATTATGGATCAAATCCTAATTGCAAATGGGAGTGTGGAAGATTTAAAAAGAAGTGGGAAGAAAGGGTTGGTGTGCAAATTGGATCTCGAAAAGACATATGATTTGGTGGATTGGTCGTTCTTATTAGAAGTTCTAGAGTCCTTTGGGTTTGGGTAGAAGTTGTGCAATCGGGTGAAAGGGTGTATTAGGACATGCTATTATTCCATATTGGTGAATGCTAAGGTGGTGGACCACTTCCCTACTACTAGAGGTATTAGGCAAGGGGACCCCTTTTCTCCCTTCCTATTTACCCTGATTGTTGAAGACCTAAGGAGGTTTATTAAGAGGGCGGATTCTAGGAATTTGGTGAAATGTTGGAGAATAGGGAGGGATAGGGTCCCGGTAACCCATTTACAATTTGCTGATGACACAATTCTTTTTTGTGGTGGGGATGAGGTCAAATGGGTTAGTAATTTAAAGCTAGTGATCAATGTGTTTGAACAAATAACTAACCTCAAAGTCAATTTTGATAAGAGTTGTGTGATTGGCATTAATTTGAGTGATAGAGAAGTGGAGGAAAGGGCCCAAATTCTTGGTTGCGAGATTGCTCAGTGGCCATCGAATTATTTGGAGCTTCCACTAAGGGATAACCCAAGCAAAAGGAGCTTTTGGAACCCAGTGATTGACGGATTCACAAAGAGGTTAGCCTCTTGGAAGAAAAACTACCTCTGTTTGGGTGGCAAGATAATTTTGATTATGTCAACATTGGCTAATCTACCTGCTTACTTTTTGTATGTGTTCAAAATTCCTGAGGGAGTATGTGGGACTTTGGAAAAGTTAATGAGGGATTTCTTATGGGAACCAAGGGAGGAGAAAAGAGATCATAGGGTTGGGTGGGATATAGTTACCAAAACCAAAAGTGATGGCGGGCTTACATTAGGTAATTTGTAGTAAAAGAATGAAGCTGTACTAGGAAAATGGCTTTGGAGATTGACTTCGGAGAGGGATAAACTATAGGCTCGAGTAATTTTAAGTGTTCATGGGTAAGCAGTGGATGGTTGGGACATGGGAGTATCATCTAGGGCTACAAGAGCTTCTCCTTGGAAATCTATTAATGCCATTCTTCCTTCATTCATTCCTTCCTTTAATCAGGTACGGCCTTTGTCTGGTAACCTTGTGAAATTTTGGGAAAATGTTTGTGTGGGCAATACACCTTTGAAAGAGCTATTCCCCTCCTTGTATTCCCTTTCGAGGTTTAAAAATGAATCAGTTATTACCTTTTTAACCATTTCTAATTCTACTATGGATTGGAACTTAGGTTTTAGAAGGGCTCTTAGAGACTTTGAATTGAACCTTATTTCTGATTTGCTCAAAATCCTGGACGAGGTGGTTATTGATCCCTCTAGGAGGGATAGTCGGATATGGGTCCCTTCTCCCTCGGGTGTTTTCTCTTGCTCTTCCTTTTTCAAAGAATTGGCTCATTCCCCACCTGTCTTTGGACACCCCTTCCCTGTCTTGGAAGTTTGGAGTAGACCAATCCTTCCCAGAAATAGTGCTTTTTGTTGGGAAGCCTTCTTAGAAAAGTGTAACACTTGTGATTTACTTCGAAGTAAAAGGCCTAATTGGTGTTTATCCCTGCACTGATGCATCCTATGTAAGGAGAATGGTGAGATCTGTTCATCACTTATTGATATCCTGCCCCTTTGTTTCAGAGACCTGGTGTTGGTTTTTCTCTCTTTTTGGTTACAGGTGGACCTCCTCTCCAAATGTGCAAAGTTTGTTCTATTCTACTTCAGTTAGGGGGTTAAAGAGTTGAGGTAAAATTCTGTGGAGATGAGTAAGAGCAGCTATCTGTTGGACAGTTTGGGAGGAAATGAATCAAAGGACCTTCCTTGAAAAAGAAAGAAATAAGGATGCCATCATGGAATTAATTTCTATTAGGGTGGCTCATTGGGCTAATACTATGAAGCTTTTTGAAGACTATTCAGCAGGAGACATTATCAGTAATTGGAAAGAAGTGGCTTGGTCAGCTCCATTAAAGACTGTATCTAACTCAGTTTGGTCTCCTCCAGCTTTGGGGTTCACTATACTGAACTTTGATGGTAGCAATGAAGGAAATCCAGGCCTGTCAGGTATAGGAGTTTTCAGGGATGGAGAAGGTTGAATTATTGCCATGTATTCTGGTTCTATTGGATGGAGGGATTCTCTAGAGCTGAAATATTGGCTGTTCTGGAAGGGGTAAAAAGAGCCCAGGAGCTGAATATCAGAAAACTGACAGTGGAAGGTGATTCTAAACTGGCTATCAGTTGGCTACAGAAGGAACAATTCGGTTTGTGGAAGTACCTAAATGAGAAAAAGAATGTTAAACAGTTTACTCAAAACATGGAAATCAAGTTTCAATGGACTAAGAGGAGTGCCAATTCCTTCGCAGATTCACTGGCCAAACAAGGGGTAGGAAGAGTCATGGGCAATATTGTAACTTGAAATGCACCTTTAGGGAGGGTTAAGAGATTTTACCCCTCCCTCCTCTTGTATCTTTTTCTCTTAATATCTCTTAATGAAAGTTTCTGTTAATTATAAAAAAAAAACAAAGTTAATGAGAGATTTATTGTAGATCAGAGAGAAACTAGAATCATCTTAATTTATTTGGAGACTGTTAAAATACAAGTAGTGTTTACATGCCTGGTCATTTGAAGTTTCCTAGCCAGAATTATATCAGGGTTGGTTTTGATTGATTGTTTTACTAGTATGGGTTAGGTTATGAAATTTTATTTTTTCTCTCATAACTGTGCAGGCTGACCTTTGAAACTGCCCTTAAACTTCATGGAGGTCCCTCATTAGTTTTTGCCCATTCATTGGGAAACAATGTTTTTCGCTACTTTTTGGAATGGTTAAAGCTGGAAATTGCACCTAGAAAGTATATGCAATGGCTTGATGAACATATACATGCCTATTTTGCAGTTGGTATGCTGTCTTTCCCAGGAAAACATTTTGGTTTGCAAATAAGTTGTTGGCACAGTTATCAATCCCCTTTTATCATATTTTTGTCTTTTTAATCCCAGGAGCTCCTCTTCTTGGTGCAACTGAGACAGTCAAAGCAACACTTTCTGGCAATACATTTGGCCTTCCAGTTTCTGAGGTTCCTTCTTTCTTCATCTATAATTGATTGCCAAACTAATATCTATCTATATCTGTATCTTCCTATAGGTGGGTCTGGTGTCCCCTTAATTTGCCACTTATCCCATGTTTCAAGAATTGGGATTCCATTGAATGGGTCCAATTAAAAGCACAATTTAATAATTTCTAACCATCTGCTGTAAGGTTTCTTTCTAACTTGAAGAGAAATTTGATGGATCGCTTGTACTGGGATCCTAGAATGCAAAGCTGATCATATTGTATTTTTGGGAGGCCATTTTTTGGTCTAGGGTTTCATACCTAATATGAATACATATTTTCGTTGATCTTAAAAAGGGACACTTTTTACTGATAAAAGAAGGGATATATAAATATATATAAGTGTTGTATTACTCAAAAAGAAACCCTGTACAAATGAAGGCTGTACATCGGGAATGTACAAAGCCAAGAATACCTATACATGTTAAGGTCTATGATACCTGAATACCTGTATATGCCTAGTTTACTTGTGTCATTTCTGATACTTTTTGGATACCGGATACTTCTTGGATACTTCTAAATGTACTCTATAACATTAGAACTTCTCATATATGTAAAGTGGCATATTTTAACAAAGGGTTAATTGCTTTATGTACCCCTGAACTATCTAACAATTACTTATTACTCTAAACTTTCAAAACCTATGTAAAGTACCCCTGATCTGTTGATATGACATATATGACCCTTCTGTTAGTTGGCCGTCAAATACCACTTACACGTGACATCACATGACGTGTTTGAATTTTAAAAAACCCAGTTTTCCCTATTCTTATTAGAACTGGATTTACCTAGTGGGATTACAAGTCAACAGGTCCAAAGAGAACCAACTGTTAGGCCCACGGCAGCTCAGGCCCAGTCCAGTATGGGTGCTCAATTGCCTCACTACAACAGATTCTATACCCGAGGACCATGCCATCAGTGGAGTGACACGTTCCATGTCTGAGTTATGCTATGTATGTAAGCTTATATGAGGCCTGAAGATATTTTGGACAATAGTGAAGAATTTCCCTATTCCCTTCTCTTCTATTGTGTCAAGGAGGTTGGGACCCTTGAAGCTTCCGTGTGTTAGGCAGTAACCTAAAACCAACCCACTGACTTCAGAAGCTTGTAATGCATCTGTGCAAGCGAAGATTGTGGAGAGGGGAATGAAAAGCGACAAAGAAGACTGTGTTCCCGAAAGAGCTGGACATGGCATTCAAAAGAGTGGTTAAGAGGCCGAAGAAATCTAGAAGCAAGGAAGAGAAAGAGGCTGAATATAGACCACTCTTGATGCAGTGAGTTTGGCAAGTCCACTAATTTTATGACAATAAAAAATTAGAGAAGGGGAGCCAAGAGTAGAGGTAAGCATTTAAAAATATAAATCTTAAAACAAAAATGGAAAATAAAAGATTAGAAACAATGCTTTTCAATGTTTTTGAACTGCTAATTCCCACACGAGACCGATGGTCTCTGAGTTCATATTTAAATCCCTTTCTCTATTAATCTTCTTTAACATGCACTTGGAGTTTGCAGTAGTGGATAGAATTGCAGGGGTTATTGTCTATAAGTAATGCTTCTTGATTTATGGGCTCTTCTCCATTTCTTTTTGAATAATCTGATGGCTGGGGTTCCGTTTTGGTTATTCTAAGAGTTTTAGCATTGAAGCTTCCACTATATTACAACTGAGTTAATTTCATCTTGTTTTCTTAACTGTTCATACAAACAGAGGGGGAGAGAATTCGGATTTCAGAAAGGGATTGGCATGCATTCAAATATAGTTATAAGTTATCCACAATAACTCCATCTTGAAGGGCCTTATAAGTCTCCCAATTCTTGGATTTCATCATCCCTGCCATGAAATGGATTTTTGTTCCATTAAATGCTGGCCATTTTTTTCATCCATCAGACTCCTTGGCATCTCTCTTTCTCTCTCTCATGATTCTCCAATCAATCACTTCTTCGTTTCTCTCTCCCTCCATTTTGTCTTTAACCCAGTGCTCACTCATTTTCTGGCATTTCATTTCTTATTTTTTCTTAAGATTTTAGGTTTCAAAGAAGTAAAAAAATGGACTGAGTTGCAATGGTACAAACTATCGCCTACAAGTGGTTTGAACAATTCAAAAGGTCAACCATTCAAGCCAACTTTATTGGTAGAATTGATTTCCTTGTACACCAGTTTGATAAACCAGTAGGTTCTGACATTGTTCAAAACTTTATCCATCTCAGGCTTAAAGTCTTAGACTGGATATTAGTTAATCTAGTTTATCTCTAAAGAATCAAGAGATTAATCATCCTCTGCATCCCAAGTTCTCCTTTTTCTGTCCACTATTGTTCCAATTGCAAAGAAACAGATATTGAACATGTTAGTGTACACTGTATTTATGGGGTATGGTCATCCTTTGTCTCTCAACCCATCTTTCTCTGTGATGAATATTTTGGATCTGACAAATAGTATTTGGACATGATTGGGTTTGGTTTGCAATTTGGGTTCTAGTCTGGTATAGTTTGAAAATTTGAAGAGTAGTCAAGGGTAAAATAGCTTTTTTATTTTCTTAATTTAATGGCAAGATGTAAGGAAAATTGAATGTCTGGAAGTTCAGGGTTACTTTAAGGTTCTGAAACTTTAGGTGTATTTTAATTGTCAGATAGTTCAGGGGCACTTTAAATAATTAACCCTTCAAAAAATTGTACCACAAATATCTGCACATGTTAGGAATTTAATTAAATTTTGCGAGACATAAGTCTTGAGAATTGACATTTAGATTCAAAAGCTAGACATAAGCTTATTACATGGGACACCCATACCCCTTATCTGTGTCCAGAATTTTAGGAAATGGGGAGTTGTATCTCTGTTTCCCATATCCATGTTCATGTCTATATCTGTTTCATAGGTAAGGGGGTGCTTGGCACAAACAAAATCTGTATACTTTTCTTTTTACAAATCAATAAGATCATTGATTAGTTACTAATAAAAAAATCTTCTAGGTATGTTGATTTCTTGACAAACTCATCTACTAGATGGGAGTGGGACCAAAAAGTGATGGGGGGTACCAAACCCATCTGTGGTTCCTCTGTAACCAGAAGATCTTGCTATGTTGATATTTAGTTTGTCAAGCTTGTATATTGGTAGCCTAAATACAGCAAATTACAACCATGAAAACTGTTACCAATAAATGTATGTGTTGAATAGATACCCAAGGATGGTTGTCTTGGGAGGGTTAGACTGTATATGGACTTTTAACTTTTTTTTTACTAATTTTTTTTGTACAAAGTGGCAGCTCTCAGACTTGAGCCCATGTTTTCACATTTGTGATCCTGAGATTTTACCACTAAACCAAGCAGTGGTTCCTATGATTGGGAAAGAAGACTTATAAACCTATGCATATTGGCCGTGTGCACCTGAATCAACTGGCCAGGGATAATAAAATTAATTCATGTAAATGGATTTTTTTGAGCAAATGGTAAGGTATTTCATTGAAATTATAAATCAAAACATGCACAGGAGATAACATGTACAGTGAGCCACCATACAAGGTGCAGTAGCAAAACAACAACTAGCTGACCCTATACCAACTCCTTTAACACAACACTTTTATGAAAGGAAAATATTCATGGTGTGGAATATCCTTAAAAAGCTCTTATGCACTGATAGCTAGGAATGAATAAGCCACACTTTGCTTCTTGGAGTTTCCAGATCAAGTTTCTGTCTTCAAAAATCCTTTGCTTTCTTTTCCTCCAAATGAACCATGACACATGTTGGATCACCTTCCAAAAGACATTCAATTGTGGGAAAGTGACACCCACTAGATCTATGACGTATTACCAGAGTAGTCCCAATATTTTTAAGCATTATTAAAGTGGATGCCCATAAGGTAGAAAATAGAAATATCACTTTTCTTAACTATTTAACATTCTGCAAGGACATGAAGCTAATTTTGACCATGCAACAAATAATGCCTTCAAACTTCCAGATCTGTGAACTGTTTGTCGGGATGGGCTTAGTCAATTTTGAGGCCCCTTTGGCAAAGAGACATTATGCTTGAAATGGCTTGTCAAAAACTTCTGGTCTTTTTAGTTAGTTATTCTTTGTCAATGACTGGAAAGACTTGAAAGTAAGAGTGTAAAGACTGTTATATGTACAAATAAGGGTGCAGGGTAGGCCATTTGAGATTGAATGCATCTTTTGGAAACCTTTATAATTGATTTCTGAAGTTGGGATCAGCCTAGTCACCTTATTTAACTTTATTGGTCATGTATCCTTGTCCATACTCTATTTGGATATAGCCTGTATTTAACATCTATTATTTGCTTGTGCAAGATATCAGGGAACAGCAAGATTGATGTTCAATTCATTTGGTTCCTCGCTATGGATGATGCCATTCTCAAAGTATTGTACATCAAACCACATACATTGGAAACATTTCTTTGAGGGCAGAAAGAAGAGGCATCAAATCTGTCACTGTGATGAAATGGAGTTTAAGTTAAATTACTCTGGATGGCCAACAAATATTATAAATATTGAAATTCCTTCACCACAAGGTGCAGATTTAAATCCTTATGCATCATAAATCATTATTTTTCCTTTTTCTTTATTAAGGATCCAATTCAGCTTAATAAGTTTGAGGAAGTTGTCCTGCATTTTCAGGCATTAAAGCCTATCCTTCAATTTCAGATATATCACAACCCCAGGTTGATCTGTCTAGCATGGAATGTAGACTCCCTACTCCATTGTCCTTCTCTGCTAGAGAAATATCAGATGGAACCTTTTTCAAAGCAATAGAGGATTATGATCCAGATAGCAAAAGGCTGTTGTACCAATTAGAAGAGTGAGTAACATACTGCTTATTTCCTATTGCTCATGAAAATTTCTCGATTTGAAATGTTGAAATTCAAGGTCAGATTAGCACCTCTTAGTGATTAACATAAAAAAGTTGTATTTCTTGTGAATATCGATGCATGTGAAGACTTCAGCCAGTTGATTCTCTCACTTGTCAACAGTTTTCCACAGTGATTCAAAAGGCACACCTAGGTGCTCAGGCGAGGCGCATAGGAGGTTTATGTAAAGGCCAAAACATATATAAGGGAGGTTCATAGGATTGTTAAGAAACCCAAGGAGGTTTCTATAATTTTCCCTATTTTTAAATGAAATTTATGTTGATTTTAAATTAATTAAACTATATTTAAGATTAAATTTTTATTAATTTTTCTTTTTTATTAATCATTATGATATTGAATTTTTATTTTTCAATGGAATTTAAGTTCGTTAGTAAAAATTAATTATAAAACTAATAATTGTTAGATAATTTTGTATTAGTTTTATATTAATTTTAAATGGATATTAGTTTTTAATTTATCTTATTACATTTTATTAATTTTTTTTTGGAAAATTCCACTTTAGTACCCTGAACTTTGGCGGTAGTGTCAAGTTAGTAACCGAACTTTCAAACATGTCATTGCAGTACCCAAACTTTCAAAAAGTGCCAAGTTGGTCCCTGCCATTAATTGACCATTAGTTATCTGATTATTAGCTTGCTTTCAGAATGAGAGTTGTTGAGATTTGTTGCTGGCGCTGCATTACCCTTTGATGCCCAAGTATCCCAAGGGTGTTCTTGTTCAGGAGAAGATGAAAGGATCGGAGGTGAAGGCTTTGTTCTTGGTATTGGGAATGAATTGTTCCGCTTGCACTGGTTTTGTTGAGAAAACCATCAAATGACTTCCTGGTATCTGAGATGCTACGGTTGATGTTCTCAACAGCAAAGCCCTATTTCTCATTTTCCCGGAAAAAAGAGATTCGATACCAATCATAAGAAAACTAGATGATAGGTTAAGGGCATTTTTGTCCTTTTACATGATACTTAATGTTTGTTAACGGTTTTGGACCAACATGACACTTTTTGAAAGTTTGGGTACTGTAGTGCATGTTTGAAAGTTTGGGTACTAACTTGACACTACCCCCAAAGTTCAGGGTACTAAAGTGGAATTTTCCCTTGTTTTTATTATATTATATTAATAAAAATATTTTTATCAATAACAATAATAATTAATAATTATTTTTATTATTTTAAATGGAATATAAATGGATTTTAATTTTTGTGATGTTTTATTCAATGTTCTCAACTTGTGGTTGACTTTGGACAGTTAAACCATTTGAACCATCACTTGACTCTATTTCTAATTTTGGGTTTCCTAGAACCTACTATTTTGTAAAAAACTGTTGATTTGGTTAAAACCTATTCAACCTAGACAATTGATCCATTGACCCTTTGATCTAGTCATTAGATCATGGGTTACAATATACAATGTACTGAAAACTTCTAGAGGACTTAACTTTGTGCTCAATTGTCTAATTGGGGTGATCTTCTTTTTCTTTTTCTTTTTTTTTAATTTTAGGTTACATTTTACAATCTTTGTAACCCCACTATACAAAACAAAGCTCATTTTGTGGTCTCAAATTTCAATTTCCATCTCTTTTATTTATAAAAATTAAAAACTAAAATAAAAAGTACAAATTGAACATAAAATAATATATACACACAAAATGTAATTATATTATATCATATTATGCATATATAGATGGATGATGTATCATGGTTTGATTTGTCCAACCCGAATAATTGGACTGCTGACCCATGACCTAGAGGCAAAAACTATTCAGCCTCCAAGTTGATTTTAAAACACTGGTTTTATTTGTTGAGTGAATTAAAAATAGTTATTTTGAAATATAAATTGTTTAATTAATTAACTTAAAAATTAATTATCTTTTAAATTGAAGTAGATTGTTTAGCCTAATAATTTATCATTGAATACCTCCATTTTCAATATAATTATTTTTTTTGATAATCATAATTTAATATAAATATATCTAAAGTATATAAAATTATATTTAATTTGAAATGAATATAGATATAAATAAAGTTAATGAATTTTATGTAATTTAATGGAATAATGAAGAGGAGAAAGAATTAATGGCATGAGTTATTGAAGGAGAGAGTTAATGGTGTAGTTAATGAGATGGGATAATTAAAGGAGTTAATGAGAAAGAGGAGATGGAGTTAATGGTGAGTTAATGAGAGGATATAAAAGTATTAGAGCTTATTGGCCACTTGAGTTATTTTGTTCAATTTAAAATTGAGAAAAATTAAAAAAACCAGAAAAAGATAAATGATTCTCAAAAACAATCATAAAAAAGACCAGTGATTCTCAAAAGTAACCAAAAATCAGGAAAGTGCCAGCTTGGCACACATTACATTTTAATATATAGATATAGATTTTATTAGGATGACGAATGAACAACATTATAGGGGTTCTTGGAGCTCTAGTTGCCTCGAGGGGCTTGGTATAAAGGCAGCTCGTAGAATCAGGAATGCAAGATGTTTTACATCACATTAGCCGTTATAAGTAATGCAATTGAGGAGAAAAAGAAATTGTGGGTTTTACATGCTTGAAAATGTTTTACATATTTATTTTTAAAATTTCATTTGAATTCGTTTTACATGTTATGCATTGTATTTTAGTTTTAGATAATAGTTTTTTAAAACATTTATTTTAAATTTTGAGTTTATAATTTTTATTAATATTATGTTTAATATATTTTTAACTTTTTTAATTTTTGAATTCTTGGCATTTTTTGTATTTTTTGCACCTTGCTTCGAAGACGCATGCCTCGCCTTGCACCTTGTGCCTCAGATGCAAATTACCCCTTGCACTTTTAAAACATTGAATTTCTATAGGTGCTGTTAGTTACCAGTAGCAGGTTACAGCTAGCCACAATTTCTTATCATAGTCATCATCCATGCCTTATCCCAACTATATGGGGTCAGCTACATGATACATATTTGTTTGCTAGATAAGATTCTTTCCTTGCCCTTGAGCTTGTCCTCTGCATGAATGTTGCATAGATCAGTAGCCATGTGAAAGTTTATCCTAAGAAGGATTGGTTTCCCCCATGTCTTCACTAATCGGGAAGTAGATTTCATTACCCTCTTATTAATTTGTCATAGAGGGATAACTTTCGGATCATCCTCCATCATCCTTTGTTCTTCACCATCTGCAATTTTGAAGGATTCTTCCTATGCAGTCAGGAAGATCAAGTAATCATTGGTATCTTTTTCACAGCCAAAAAATAACTCCTTTGCAGCAAAGGTCTTCTTGTAGGTACTGCTGCATAATATATAAATATTTTTTTGATTACAGTATCAATTAAATATGACAGAATCTCAACCCAAGCCCACCCAAGTTGCATTCCTACTTTGTTGTATTCATCCATCTGGATATCTCTATAAGTAGCAGTTTTCCATATATTTGTTAGTGCATCCATGTTCTTATGTGTGCACCCTACAACTTCTGTTGTGATGGAAATGAACTCAGGGTAATGAGTATGAGTTATGCTGTCCTTAAGTAGCATTTCTGATAACATGCATCTGAGTATTTATTCCCTCTGTTGTCTGCTCTAGAACATTTTAAGTACTACGTACTGAAAATTTGTAATTGAGAAGTACAATTTTCTGACAGGCTTATATAGATATTGTTGTATCTTTCCAGGTTGTATCATAATGATCCAGTTTTGAATCCACTCACACCTTGGGATAGGCCTCCCCTAAAGAACATCTTTTGTATATATGGAGTAGATTCAAAAACTGAGGTATGGTTTCTTATTTGAGTAACACTAAACACATTATTTCTACTCATTCAATGATCTATCATATATTACATCCCTAAGTGTAAATATTCATGGCATGTGTCAATATTCACATAATCTTAAGGAGACTCCACATAAGTTTCTTAAACCCTTAAGTGTAAATAAGTTTCCTATAATATACATCATTTCTTAATTGCAATCACAAATACCTGAATAGTGATTAAGAAACTTATGCTAATGTTGTTCCTGTGTTATTATTACGAGACAATTTTTTTAAAGATAATTTAAATTATAAAACCATTTTTTTAGGGATTAAGAATTTAAGGCCCTGACATGGACTTGTTTGGGCTTGCCCAAAGAGGCTTGGTACAAAGGCAGCTCGTAGAATTAGGAATGAAAGATGTTTAACATCACATTAACTATTTAAAATACTGCAATTGGGAAAGACATAAAGAAATTTAAAGTTAGACATGCTGGATTATATTTTATATGCGATGTTTGTATTTATTTTTGTATTTTCACTTTGGATATGTTTTATATGTTATGTTTATGCATTTTAATTTGATCTAGTAGACTTTTTAAAATATTTAGTTTAAGATTAAAATTTCAGTTTTTAATTAATACTATTAATATCTTTCTTGATTTATTTTGAATTTTTACATTTTTTTTATTTTAGAAAATCTTGCACCCTGCTTCAAAAAGGTTTACACCTCACCTTGCGCCTTGTGCTTTTAAAATACTAGGGGATGATAACTCTAAGTTCTTTAATGCATTAGAAAATAGAAGGAAAAAGAACTCTATCTCCAAGTTAGTTTTTAATGAAGAGGAAATAACTCAACAAAGTGAGATTACAAGAGGACCATTCTAAATCTTTGTGTGGTTCTAAGTCTGGCAAAAGCACAAGTGGAATAATTGGATGGGCCATCTTTGCATAGGAATAAGACCTTGCAGTGGAATTGGAGAAGCCGTTTGAGTTGGATGGAATAAAGAAAGTTGTGTTCTCTATGGATGGGGCCATGGTTCAAATTATCTGTGCGCATGATACTAAAAGTTTTAGTAGTAATAGATGGCACTAATTGTTGGACAGTTTTGGTATGCCCTTAGCTTCAATCAGTTTTGATGTACTTTTGATATTTAATGTAAATAAATGAAGTACATGTTTGATTCATGTTGTGTGGTATACTTCTGTGTAAGACCCTAAAACTGAACACTTAATGAGGCTTGTGTTGGTTTTGAATGTTCACAGCCGCTGGATAAGTCTGGGGAGATTTATC